TAAGAAGTCATCATCGTTCAGCTGAACAGTTGTATTGTCAATGTCAAAAACCCCAAATTTGAGTTTCTGAACTAGTTCAAAATAGTAATCAATCTGGAATTTCTTGGAAAATTTAGGATTCAAACTGTTTTTGATCCTTTCTGTGCGATCAACCTGCAAAACAGTACAGTGGCTCATCACAATTTTTTTTTCAACTTCTGTTTGAGCATTCTGAAAAATGCACTCCCCCAGAAAATTAAAGAAAATAGGAGTAAATATGCAATCCCATACCTATTTATATTAGCATGGAGGAAGGAGTAATAAATACATTTGCCTCCTTGAATTATTTATAAAGTAATAAAGCAGGGATCAAATAATGAATAAAATGATATGCATAAACCTCAATTAAGTGTAAATAGATTTGCACAGGGTTATCCTGAAACTTTTGTAAAATATAAACAGTATATTTTAGGCATGAAGAAATCTTTTAAAAAATCTTTACAATGATAGAATGCTGACAGATTTTCCTTCGCAGATTGCTAAAACGTATAGTTGATTTAAAAAAAACTTTATTAATTGAATAAATGAAAGTTAATATAGTAGCACAGTAATACAAATATAATTTTAGATTACATCAATAATTAAATGCCAGTTCTGTTTATTTTGACCGAACTTACTTTCAAATAAATATGAAATGTTATTTTACCACTGTTTTTTCCTATTTTTCAGAAGCATTTGAAATATTATGCAAAATCTTTTAACCCAACATGCAATTTTAGCAAAACCAGAAAATATGTACTTTTAAACTGGCATTATTTTATTAATTCTTTGCCCAAGACACTGCAAAGCTATCAAGGAACACCTATTCAATTACAAGAAGTCCTCAATTTATAACCATTCATTCAGCAGCGGTTTGAAGTTATGGCAGTCATTTTGACCCACTGTATGTTGTGCTTTATGACCACATAGCTTCCCAGTTGAAGTCATAGGTCAAGGACTATTTGTAATGGGACTTCCTTCATACTTCTTTAACTATGTGTCATGCACATTCCATCTCCCGAAAAGACACTCAATCTTCCGGAAAAGATTTTCAAGACATCTGGCATAAGATCTACTATTCTGTTTTTGTGTCAGATTGGCAAAGAAACAGAGCTCTTTTTACACTGCTTGAATGTGTAGAAATTGCCATTTGAAATGGTTAATGGTGCATTTTTGTTTAAAAATAAAGCAGTCCTGATACCTAAGGGCAAAGTCAAAAGAGGACTTCCTGAATTTGCTATTTCCCAATAACAAAGCAGTCAGACTGTATTAATAACAATAACAATAGTACTTAGACTTATATACCGCTACACAGTACTTTCCAGCCCTCTCTAAGCCGTTTACAGAGTCAGCATATTGCCCCCAACAATCTGGGTCCTCATTTCACCGACCTCCCAACGGCCATTATAACATACCTCATACCACTGCTGTCCACTTGTGTATTGAAGTAGCACACAAAGTGGGTCTGACTTGGAGCTAATATCTCTATCCAGGAGATTGTTGCAAGAAACAGTCAACTCCACCTTAGTTACACACTGTGCCGCCATCTGCAACAAGATGAGAAAATCAATTATCATATGTACCCTGCATATATCAATAATTTGTTAGCTTATTTAGCAAGTTGTACCCACATGTAACTTTTGAAACTATATCCCTCCAGCTGCTACTGTTCTTAATGTCACTTAATTTACCATGTATTTAGACTTTTAATATATCATCCCATGTTATCCACTGCTTTCTTATATTGTCTATTTACTCTTGCTTTCAATCAAGCACCTTGTGCAAATATTAAGACAAATATGGATAATACATGAATTTTATATTTTCAGTAACTACGGATCAACTGATATACACATATTTACTTGAGATGTAACTTGAAAATCACACACTTTATGCAATGTAATCTAATCTTGGGAAAAAAGATTATAGAAAAAATGTAAGCTTTGTAATTGAGAGCCAATTTGGTGCAATGGTTATGGTGCTGGCCTAGAAACTAGGAGACTTGCGTTTTAGTCCAGGCTTAGGCATGAAAGCTATGAGAGTGATAGTTTGTGCCAGTCATCCTCTCCCAGCCCAATTCACTTTGCAAGGTTGTTGTAAAATAGGAGGAGTACGGACTATTATATATGTCTGCTACTCTGAGTTACTTCTAGAGCAGGGCTGTCAAACTCCCAACCCAAGGACTAGATGCGTCAAATGCTGGCCATGCCCACGCACATCACACAACCAATAAACTAGTTAACAAAACTGTAGGAAGTTAGCACCCACATCTCTCCTAGAAAAATGAAATATTCTAGGAAATATTAAAAGGCAGAATATTTTCTCTAAAAGAGAAACAGAAATCTTAAAACAGAAACTCAGCCCCCACACTCTCAACAGCCCACAGCAAATGTCAGCACTTAAGAGATAGCTAGGTCTATTCATAAGCAAATGCCCTCACCCAAGTTCCAACAAAGATAGGATTATCCCTCTACCCATCTAGCAACAGAACTCACCACATGGCACCTGGGGAGATTACATCACCCAGCAAGATTCAACCAAGCTTGGGACTCAAAAGACAACCTACAAAGTTACCCCTGCATGGCCCCATGGGAATCTGACAACCAAATCAGAATACAAGCTCAAATCCAAAGCCCAACAAAGGTATAAATCTCTCTCTCACACACACCCATGTGCTTTTTTGTCAGGACTTCATGTGGTCCTGTCCACCATTAGACTATCTTTTCAAGCAATCTCCATGTTTCCAGTGTCTTTCTCCCCACTTGAAACTGAACCCAGATGGACATTTCTTCCAACAAAACCCAGTTTCAGAGGCTGCAGAGTCATTCTTAAGGGCCTTCCAGAGAGTTCATTCTTCAAAATCTCATGGAACACAATTATGGAAGAGTGCAACATAGCTTCCAGAGAAAGGGAGTGTGATGAAAAAACAACACCTTTCTTTGTATCCCCGTGGGGGATCTTTCACAAGGAAGAAAATGTAGAAAATCTTTGGGTTATTTTGTGATAATAGTTAGTCCTACCAGATGTAAGACTAAGGAAAAAATACAATACTGCACTAGCACATAAGTGCAAAGATAACACTGGGTCGCATAATGTCATGCGATGATCTAAACCAGAGGTTCTCAATTGGTGATAAAGAGAGGACTCAGCAGCAGCATAGATAGGACCCATGAAAAACATTTTAAAATAGTAAATTACAAATATAAGATAATATCTGTAAGCATAATATCCTTTTCAAAAAAAAAATGCAACCCTGTACTTCTGAGGGAGACAGTTTGGCGTAGTGGTTCAGCCATTAAGGCACCAAGCTAGAAACCCAGAGCTTTAGTCTTGCCCTAGGCAGCAAGCCAGCTGGGTGACTTTGGACCAGCCACTCCCTTTCAACCCTAGGAAGTAAGCAATGGCAAACCACTTCCCAAATCTTGCTAAGAAAATTGCAGTGTCTTGACCAGGCAGTCACCAGGAGTCAACACTGACTTGAAGGCACACGTGCACTCACAAATCTCTGAACGAAAGAGTAGAGTAAATAGCCAAATAGGTTTTTGTTTCTAACAGTGGGGTCAGTGGTGGGTTTCAAAAATTTTTACTATCAGTTCTGTGGGTGTGGCTTGGTGAGTGTGGCGTGGTTTAGTGGGCAGGGCATGGCATGGCTTGGTGGTGGTGGCAGAGGAAGGATACTGTAAAATCTTCATTCCCTCCTCACTCCAGGGGAAGGTTACTGCAAAATCCCCATTTCCTCCCCATCAGCTGGGACTTGGGAGGCAGAGAATAGATGGGGGCGGTGCCAGTCAGAATTTTTACTACCGGTTCTCTGAACTACTCAAAATTTCCGCTACCGGTTCTCCAGAACTGGTCAGAACCTGCTGAAACCCACCTCTGAGTGGGGTCCAACTTCTTAAAAGAAATCAGCAGGGTCCTAAATCTTCTCGCCCTTTCTCTTGTCACAGCCTGCACAGGTAAAGCACTAAGTGGACCTAGCATATCATTCATTGCCTTTAATTCCTCAACACACCCAATATGTCCCAAAAGCCACACCTATTGGCAGCAGCTTTTTTTCCCAAAATTATCTACAACACAGATACGAATTCGCCCAAAAAGTTGTCTCCCGGCCTGTAATCTACCACCCATGTATGACTGATATTAAGGATCAATAACAATCAACCTATTTATATAAACTTTCTTTCTCTGCGGTTATTCTCCCCCTCACCTAAACGAACCTTTTCTGTCTTTTTAATCCCTCTGCCTCCCCCACACCCCCGCACCCTTCCGGCTCCTCTTTCTTCTACCTCGGCTAGTGTTGCTCAAACTGATGCCCTTCAAGGTCCCACCATCCCCCGGCCAGCCCGACCAAAAAGGATGCAATTAGTCGACCCCCATCTGGAAGGAAGACTCGCCGCTGTACCGACCTCGAGAGATCACACCAGCAGCGATCCGTAATCAGTGATCCTTCTCCTCCGGCCTCGCCCAGTTTCTGTTCCACGAAGCAAGGCAATATATAATGCAACGCAACGCAAGCTGCAGCGGTAAGGCCGCTCAGGTATTTAAAGGGGCGGCGCTTCTACCGTCTCCCCCCCCCCGCCTTTTTCCTCGCTGCCAATTGTGTAATCCAAGCAATTTTCCCCAACGTGGAAAGCCAGCCAGTTGTTGGCATCCAAAGGCGCATGCGCTCTGCTTTGAGTCTGTAAAGGTGATTGGTTGGTGTTTTTTTTTTTTTTAAAGATTCCTAGACCAACCTTGGATCTTTAAGCCTGGCGGACCTCAACTCCTAGAATTCCCCAGGCAGCAAAGGGAATTCTGGGAGTTGAAGTCCGCCAGGCTTAAAGTGGCCAAGGTTGGAGAGCCCTGTCCTAGACTAACCAAAATTTTGTGGGACGCTCCTTTTCTGAAAATGATAGGGATCACGTGATAGAACTCTGGCAACTGGGCTTCTCCGCGCGTGGGAAGTCAATGCCATGAAGTCTTTTTTTTCAAACTGGGTAAGATGTCTAGACTTCAACTCCCAGAATTCCCCCTTAAGTCCTCAGGGAAAAGCCAAGAGGGCGGTGGGATGCTTTGAGTAATCACGGTTGCCAAGGAAGAGCGGAATGAATGCAACTCGGATCTTGTTCCCTCCGGATTTTTTTAAAGAAGGGGACATGAGGCTTTTCCGGTGTGGATCACAGCTGTGCGAAAAGGCTGTGGAGGAGTTGAACGGGCAGTTCCTGTTTCCGGCATATGCGAGGAGAAAGGGTGATTTCGGGAGTGCGGGGGAAAAAAAATAGCCAGGAAAGGTTTTTGTCATGGCGCTGGGGAAGGTGTCGGTGCGACGTTGGCTTCGAAGTTGCTCTTTCCTGGAGACACGTTTCTTTCGCGAGGCTCCAAGAATAAAACCCGGCTGCAGCCGTCAACTTTCTTCAGGCCATGGAGGAAAAAGGGGAGTCGAGGTATGGACTGGGTTATAGGCGCATCCCTTCTTATCCTCTCCTGTGCAGGGCCCGAGTTCGTTCCGGGAGAGGAGAAAATAATGCTCTCGGTTTGATTGAAAAACATGGCTCTCCTAAATGTTTTTTTAATCTGACTTCGACTTCTCTCCAGTATGAATTATTCCTTCATCTATGTATACTGCACGAGTCAGAAAGAGGGCTGTGAAAATGTTTACAGACACCTCACATCCTGGACATAAACTGTTTCAACTCCTACCCTCAAAACGATGCTATAGAGCACTGGACACCAGAACAACTAGACACAAAAAGTTTTTTCCCAAATGCCATCACTCTGCTAAACAAATAATTCCCTCAACACTGTCAAACTATTTACTAAGTCTTCACTACTATTAATCTTCTCATCGTTCCCAGCACCCATCTTCTTCTACTTATGACTGTATGACTGTAACCTTGTTGCTTGTATCCTTACGATTTATATTGATATTGTTCCTGATTACTTGTTTGTACCCTATGGCTATCATTAAGTGTTGCACCTTATGATTCTTGATGAATGTATCTTTTCTTTTACGTACACTGAGAGCTTATGCACCAAGACAAATTCCTTGTGTGTCCAATCACACTTGGCCAATAAAAAAATCTATTCTATTCTATTCTATTCTATTCTATTCTATTCTATTCTATTCTATTCTATTCTTTAACCCTATGACGATAAGATGTAATACTCTTCTTCGAGCTTCCTAATTTGCTGAGTAGGAAAATCAGAAAAATTAGGATAATAGACTATAAATAAGCGGAAGCAGTATGCTCCATCCCATATTTGGGTAGACCAGGTTGCCCTGAGAAAAAACACTTAGAATAATAGACCTTTTTTTTTTTTTTTCTTTGAGAAAAATATATAGCGTTTTGGAAATGTCTGTGGGTATTCTCAGTCATCCAAGGTCATGGTTATCACAAAGGTGCTTTTTCAAGAGACAATTGGACTTCCTGGTTTTTCTTTGAAGATATGTAACTGTAACAGAGTTGGAAGGGACCTTGGAGGTCATCTAGTCCAACCCCCTGCTCACACAGGAGAGCTGTACTAGGGATTTGAACCGCTGAACTGCTGACCTTTCTGATCAACAAGCTCAGTGTCTTAGCCACTGAGCCACCTAGTCAGGTGTTTGAGAGCTGAAGAAGCTTCTTGGATGAGAAGCGAAAAGCCAGAAAGTCCAGTTGCTTCTTGAAAAAGTAGCTTCAGACATTTGGGGAATGTTTGCTTTACTGACGAAACAATTTATAAAGAGACATAGAAATAATTCTTGGTGCTTCCAAGTTGTTTTTAACGTCTGTGTTTTATTCTTGTAGTATTTTGTTCTTGGACAAATATTCCCTTCCCCTGAGGGAGAGAGGGAGAATAGTTGTCCAAACAACTTGGAGGGTTTCATGGTTTTATTGTTGTTTTATGCCTTCAAGTCAGCTTTGACTCCTTCAAATCAGTTTTGACTCCTGCCAGGCTATTCCTGCAGTTTTCTTGACAAGATTTCCAGAAGTGATTTCCCATTGCCTCCTTCCTTGGGTTGAGGGAGAGTTTAAGAGGGAATGACTTGAAGTCAGTTGGCTTTGTGCGTAAGGTAGAACTAAACTAGTAAATTCAGGTCACACTTTGACTAGCTTATGTGTGTGTCCTGTACTTATACATATGTTCTCCAAGATGAGTGTAATAGAATTGGAATCCATATTCTAGAATATTTTAGTGAGAAAACCTTAAACATTTTAAAGTATGTAATTAGAATGCCTGCTTAATTTTAAATTCCTGTTTTTCATGCATGTTAACAGGAGGGAAAGATACATTGAGGCTTGAGGTTTTTAAGCTTACAATATTTTGTTTCATTGTAAACAAGATGCCCTGATAAAATGGTCACAGCTGAAAAAGAACCAAAGGTAGCACTGAATTATTTGGGGGACAGAAATATAGAGTTTATCGATAGAATGAACTAAAGATTTGTGACATACAATAGATAGCTTTTAACACACTGAAATATGTGAAGTTACATATTACCATAAAAAAGCAATGACCCTAATTCCATATTATAGTAAGCCACAATATGTCTTAGCATAGTACTTGGTACTAATGCTCAAATTCCACCTTTATCCACTTTGTGAACATATATGCTTAGATTTTAAAAAAATGGTATCAGATTTGTAAATAGCTATATTGATTTTTTTTATTAGGTGTTTGAAAAATCCAGAATTTTCAAAAGAGGATTTATATTCTCAGCATTGTCCTACCTGGGATACAACACTTATCTAGTAATCTCTCGGTCTGCTATGGTTCGTGCTGATGTGAAAGGTAAGAATTTTTTTTTCTAAAAATGTAGAGTTGTCAAATCCAATCCCCCATCCCTAAAATATAATCTGATTTTTTTATTAGAGGAAGGACTAAGTATGGCTGCTTATAAGAGATACAGTTTGTTTTCTCTCTCAGTTATTTATAAATCAAATTTATAAAGCCACACAACTCACTAAAACTCTAATGGCATACAGATTATATAATACAATATAGTATAAAACAAATAATGTGATAACCAGGGAAACCCCAGTAGAAAACACACACTTGGGTGACGCCTACTCTACCTTACCTATGGCCTGGAGGGAAAGCCAGGTCTTCAGTATCCAATAAAAGGATAGCAAGTTCAAAGTAATGTGATCCTATGGGGAATATCAAGTGGAAGAGGATATTTGATGATTCTGAGGCCTAGCACTGAGGTGACTCAGCGAAGAAAAATCCATATGTTCAGCCTTGGAAATATTTAGATACTGATTTTGTTCTCTAAAATGGAAAAGGGGACTATCAGTCTGATATTTCATTCTTTCAATCAGTATTTTAAAACCCTGAAGGTTTAAGGAATCCCTTTCACCCTTCATACCCAATACAAAAGAGGACAGTCTGAAAATATTGGACCCATGTTCTGGAGATCTTGGAAACTGCAAATAATGTTGCAGACTATAATTTTGTATGCTTTCTATCAGAGCTCTTAAACAACCTTGAAGCCCAGGAATTAGTTATGTATTTAAAGTAATCAAATAGAAGGATTTTACTTAGAAAAATATTGATGAGATGGAAGCTCAGCCTTAAGATGATTATTGAAATGGAGATTGGCACTGGTATCTGTATTGATACAGGATTTGCTGCTGATGGATGGTTTAAAATATATATAAAGTGGATTTTGCATATTTTGTTTCTTTACAAAGTTTATATTTTTCTAAATACATATATAAAATATTTATCATATTAACATATTCCTTCTCTGTCTGATTTTGTTCTTTTATATACAGTCATGGCCATAAATGTTGGCACCCCTGAAATTTTTCCAGAAAATGAAGTATTTCTCACAGAAAAGTATTGCAGTAACAGATGTTTTGCTATACACATATTTATTCCTTTTGTGTGTATTGGAACAAAACCAAAAAAGGAAAAAAAGAGGAAAAAAAGCAAATTGGACATAATGTCACACAAAACTCCAAAAATGGGCTGGACAAAATCATTGGCACCCTTTACTTAATATTTGGTTGCACACCCTTTGGAATAAATAACTGAAATCAGTCGCTTCCGATAACCATCAATAAGCTTCTTACACCTCTCACCCAGAATTTTGGACCACTCTTCCTTTGCAAACTGCTCCAGGTCTCTCTTATTGGAAGGGCGCCCCTTCCCAAAAGCAATTTTAAGATCTCTCCACAGGTGTTCAATGGGATTGAGATCTGGACCCATTGCTGGCCACTTCAGAACTCTCCAGCGCTTTGTTGCCATCCATTTCTGGATGCTTTTTGATGTATGTTTGGGGTCATTGTCCTGCTGGAAGACCCAAGATCTTCGACGCAAATCCAGCTTTCTGACACTGGGCTCTACAGTGCGACCCAAAATCCGTTGGTAATCCTCAGATTTCATGATGCCTTGCACACATTCAAGGCACCCAGTGTCAGAGGCAGCAAAACAACCCCAAAATATCAGTGAACCTCCACCATATTTCACTGTAGGTACTGTATTCTTTTCTTTGTAGGCCTCATTCCATTTGCGGTAAACAGTAGAATGATGTGCTTTACCAAAAAGATCTAACTTGGTCTCATCTGTCCACAAGACGTTTTCCCAGAAGGATTTTGGCTTACTCAAGTACATGTTGGCAAACTGTAGTCTTGCTTTTTTATGTCTCTGTGTCAGCAGTGGAGTCCTCCTGGGTCTCCTGCCGTAGTGTTTCATTTCATTTAAATGTCGATGGATAGTTCGCGCTGACACTGATGCTCCCTGAGCCTGCAGGACAGCTTGAATTGCTTTGGAACTTGTTTGGGGCTGCTTATCCACCAGCCGGACTATCCTGCATTGGCACTTTTCATCAATTTTTCTCTTCCGTCCACGCCCAGGGAGATTAGCTACAGTGCCATGGGTTGCAAACTTCTTGATAATGTTGCGCACTGTGGACAAAGGCAAATCTAGATCTCTGGAGATGGGCTTGTAACCTTGAGATTGGTGATATTTTTCCACAATTTTGGTTCTCAAGTCCTCAGACAGTCCTCTTCTCTTTCTGTTGTCCATGCTTAGTGTGGCACACACAGACACACAATGCAAAGACTAAGTGAACTTCTCTCCTTTTTATCTGCTTTCAGGTGTGAGTTTTATATCGCCCACACCTGTTACTTGCTCCAGGTGAGTTTAAAGGAGCATCACATGCTTGAAACAATCTTATTTATCCACAATTTTGAAAGGGTGCCAATGATTTCGTCCAGCCCATTTTTGGAGTTTTGTGTGACATTATGTCCAATTTGCTTTTTTTCCTCCCTTTTTTGGTTTTGTTCCAATACACACAAAGGGAATAAACGTGTATAGCAAAACATGTGTTACTGCAATACTTTTCTGTGAGAAATACTTCATTTTCTGGAAAAATTTCAGGGGTGCCAACATTTACGGCCATGACTGTATCACCTAATACTTATATCACCTATTTTCTTTGTTGTGCCAATAATACTGTTGACTCATGACTTGTCTAATTTATCTGAGAGGAGGTAAATTGGGAAAGATTAGACTAGATCAGTGTTTTATCTTTAATCTTATAGCTCTTTGACACTGACTCAGAAAGAGGGGTAGTTGTTGGAAACACTTCCTGTTAATAGACAAAACCTAACAGTACCATATAAAGCTGTTGATAGAAAGATGTTTTGATTATCATGATGCTATTGTCTGATGCTTGTAATATTAGTATGTCTGTATGCAATTACATCAATTATTTTTCTATAAAGTAATGCCTGTTTCACAGATGAGCAGATTCACTGAATTCCTGTTTTATTATATCATAAGTTGGTGAAATCCTAGATCAAGCAGACTATCTCTACGGAAGTGGAGAAACAGAAAAGCTTTATCAGTTGCTGAGTGAACACAAAAACAGGTACAATATGCTTTTTCAGCGTGCTCTGATTGGATGAGGTTGGCATAAAGCTCACAGCAATGGTACAAAATTACTAGATACATGGAAGGGTTGAAATCAGAATTTTAGAATACTTTATAATGGATCTTTTAAGTCCTTTTACTCTCATTTAAAAAACAACTTTTTCTTCTAATTGCTTTCAGTGGAAAACACTCAAAATGAAATAACACATCAGTGCATGACACTATAATAATTAAAATGAGCAATAAAACAGTTTGAAGTTCTAAGAAGATCAGTTTTTTTTTTTAATGCATTTAGAAGATTGGGAATGTACGGTTCATAAAAACTTTCTTTTTGGGTAAATTTGAATATACCCAGACTTTAATTTCTGGAGCTGATTATATTGGTAGAGTACCTCTACTTTCTAGATATAGTTCACTAGATATAGTTTGCTGCAAAATACTCAGTTAAAATTATTATAGTGTCATGCAGTGATGTGTTATTATTAAGCTGCCTTTATATTGTTGTATATAAAATTGTCCCACAGAACTATTGTTTGGTAGTTAAAAGTATAATAAATATGTCTTTACATTGATACCTTACTATGGTACATTATAATCAATATATCCTATTATATATGTTAATATGTAGTGAAAATGCACAAGTGTTATGGCGTCTGGCACGAGCTTTACGAGACCTTGCTCAGCTTAGTCAAACTTCAGCAGAAAAAAAGAAGCAGCTGGCTTATGAAGCCCTTGATTATGCAGAGAAGGCACTTGAGAAAGACAACACTTGTTATAGCGTACACAAGGTCAGATAAACAATTTACATTTTGTAGTGGCTCATTTCTGAGTTTAGGAATTTGAAAGGAAAATTGCAACAATTCCTTCATATCTTAAATGACAAACTCGTATTCGATTCATTTAATTATACAGCAATTATAATCTCAGGGTTCCCAGGCAAAACGCAGCAAAACACAGAAACCACCAAGTTCAGCTCTTTGGATAATGCTGGTTTAATGCGCGCTGGCTCCAGGTACACGCTGCAATCAAATTGATCTGAATTTGGTGCTATACCCATCCGGCTTGTGACACTTAAATAGCCCTCCCTTTAGTCATCACACCCATTAGCATGCCCATCAGTGAAACCTGGGTTACCATGCCGGTGCTTATTGTCCATCAGAGGAACGCTGGTAGCGTGTCGGCAGTTTCTCCCCTTGGTGCCAGCATTCGTCATTCTCCACAACCAGCAGCAAACACACTAGCATCCTTCCTAGCTCCGTCATATACACCTCCCCACACCCCGCACACAGCCGCCTAACACCCAGTGCCACCACCACCATCCCCATGTGTATGCAGGTCTGTTCCCGTCTTCCTTTTCATTCCATGTCAGTGTTGTCGAGCGCGAGGCTAGGCTCGACATATAATTTCAAACCAGCCTACCAAATGAAGTGAGATCAGAGAGTTCCAGAAACCCTAGCTGCTGTAATATTTCTACTGACTTGATTGCTTTAAAGTAGATACCAATATTGAAAATATTGCAACTAGTGATACATACCAAGGCATACTTAAAGGGAAAACAATGCAGATGTTGCTGCATGATCCCAAGTAAAGATTCAGTTGATTTAAAAGATGAAGATACATATAACTTAGATGTCCCTGGATGCTCCGGAGCACCCTTTTGCTTTTAAAACACAAGTATTGCATAGTGTAAGATAATAATTGTATACAATTGTACAATAATAATTATAAATGAACTAAGTTATTGCCAGTTATTTCTGAGTTCAAATTTTAACTTTAAAAACCTAGAATGGCTTAGACAGTTATAGCTAGTCAGTTTCTGTTTGAGTATGAACCTGTCTAGACATTAACATAGAATTTCTTTTAAATGTCTATTTTTTCAGAGCCCTGTCTCAATGTAGGATGTGGGAAAGTTTCTTCTTCACTCTTCCAAAATTATTCTCTCAGGACTTTTATGTAATCTCAATTTAATTTAAAACCTCCTTCAGCGTGGCCTCGTAAGAAATTTTATGCCATTTATTTAGTTTTAACTATAGTTCATTTTAGACAGTTAACTACCTAGCATTCCCTGTTGACTGAAGCTTAAAATAAATCTTTGTTTAGTATGGTTAGAAATATATTTATGATAATAATTTAATCCCTAAATATTTCATATTGCTAAATAATCTATTTCATTCTTTTTATTAGTGGTATGCAATATGCCTCAGTGATGTGGGAGATTATGAAGGAATAAAGAAAAAAATCTCCAGTGCTTTTGTTATTAAGGAACATTTTCAGGTATTTAAAAGTATTAATTTTTGTATTAACCTTGTGTTCTCTGCCACACAACCTGAACATGAGGGAAGAGCAATTTATGATGAAGAATAAATTAGAAACTGAAGTGTTTTTAATTGTTGGATTATATATGAATCATTGAACTCTCACTGTCTTCATTAATAGGGAATGCTTAAAAATATTTTAATGGGTTTTGTCTAACATATACAAAAATACATTTTTGTAAGAAAAATATTACAAAAAAAGTAACATTTTTGAAGCCTACATTAGATACATTTAAGTAATAAGGAACCAAAGAAGGATAATTTGTTGTCACTGAAAAGTCATGGTCAGCATGAATTTAGAATGATAGTCCTTCATGTTTCAGAAGTCTTGCCATTCTTTTTTCAGAGGCGGTAATTTATGTTTGCTGCATGCTTGCTGAGGGACACAGTTCTAGTCCCAGGAACTTGAAGACTTCTGTACTTTTTTGCATTTCTATTCTTTTCAGTGTAGTTAAACTTTTTTGTTTAAGGGGGTGTTGAAATAACAAACATAAAGAGCAGTTTAAACTTTTCAATGTGTCATTATATGAAGTAGGAAATTAACATTTATTTAATTAACTTCTAAAATATAGAGCAGAAAAGGTAAACTAACTCATCTCAATTTATTTCAGTTTATTTGGCCATTTTTTCCTTTAATCCATGCTTAATCCATTGTTCACTGTAGCTCGGCCATATTATATGTTTTAAGAATTCACTATTTCTAATGGTCTTGACCTTTTCCTGGATTGTTAGAAATCTTTTGTGGTCCATTTCTCTTAAAGTACATAATAGTTAAAGTAAACTCCATGAAATAGGAAATTACCTGCGTCCTTGTTAATAAGCTCTTTCAAAATGGATAAGTAAGTTAGGTACAAAATGGAACATTTTGTCTCAATTTTCATCCTGGAGGTGATTTTTGGTGTTTTACTGGTATCAAGAATATAATAAACCATATTCTCTTTTAGAAAATGTACTTCTGAGAATACATAAACCACCCTGAAATACTTGAATTAGGTTGTTGGAGGGTCAGATATAAATCCTAGTGAGCACCTATTGAATGTTGCACATTCCTGATTATAATTTCTTCAGTGTTTCATTTTTCCTTCAACTACATGTTTCAGGATATTTGTGTTTTTAAATATAGTTTTGTGAGCTTGAACAGAGAAAGTTGGATGCTAGCAGGCTTAACTTAATGTTAGCTTTCAACCATCAGGATGTAAATCTGATCTATACAAGCCATAGACGTGTACTAAATATTAAGGATATTTCTCCCTAAATCATATGAAATTCATTACTTTTTTCAGACAAAAATATGCAATGATGTAATTTAATTGTTGCTAGGGATTAGGTAAGCAGGAAGGTAGGAGCTATGGAGGTAAATATTAAGCAATGATAAAGAAATGCTTTTGCTTTTTTTTTTTTTTTTAAACAGAAAGCAATTGATTTGAATCCAAAGGATGCTACTTCACTTCATCTTATGGGCATTTGGTAAGACGATCATTCTAAACAAAATTATATTTGAAATGCCAACATTTTTGCCTGATATGTGGAATGTGAAGTAATTGCACAATGCTTTTAGTATTTAGCAATACGTCTCTGAACAAATGAACTACTCTATCAGCATTGTCTTACATAACAGTATATATAAATTTTAGCAATATGTCTCCACTAGTTGTGTTTTTAAAACATTGTATTTGCATTTGATCCATCCTCATTTCCTTCTAATTAAACACCAAACTTACCTCTCCCCACTCTACTCTGTTAAGCATATCGATTTAATTATAGTGGTTTCTCAGTCATTATTTAGAAGATATGTCAAGGAGAAATTTACTTTTTGTATATATATATTCCCTGAATAATTTAAGTCAAGGATAAGCAACATATGGCTCTTTTGATATTTATTATGTGCCCTCAAGTTAGTGACAACTCTTAACAGCCACATAGATAACATATAGATTTTCTCCAAGACAATCTCCCTCACTTGGTCCTTGAGGTCTTCAATAGTACATTCATTCCCACTGTAACTCGGTCCATTGATCTTGCCTTCAGTGATTACTAAATTTCAACTTTAGTTAGCTCTAACTAACATGATAATCATAAGAGATCAGAGACTTGTATATGATAGTATTCGAAGGATCACATATTTTCCCATTCCAGTTTTTACCTAATGGTTAGAGATTGCATTTATTATTCATTAATATTTACTTTCCTGATCAACTATCATAAGTTTTGTCTCTCGTGGTAAGTTATTGACTGATTTATATCCTAGGTGGCAACATTTTGCTCAAACCTTATTTTAAAAAAGGCCTTCTTTTCTTCCATAATGTTGAGAACCTCCAAACTAGATAACGCATCTTAAAAGATCTGCAAACACAATGATGAATATTCTTGTCTTAAACAAAGGGACAAATAATGTATAATGAAAGAGATACAAGCTTTGACTTGTTAGTCATATTATTAGCAGTTTGAGTATTGGTCAAGCCTTATCTGAATAAATTAAGACTTTTACATTTCAGTTTTAACATTCTTTCATAAATGAATTTTCCTCAACTTCTCTAAGCATACTTCAGGTATTTTCCCCTAGACTTGGCATTTGTTCTTAAAGCATTCTTAGTAAGCATATCTTTATTTATTTATTCAATTTTTATAGCTGCCCATCTCAATTCAGTTGACTCCGGGAGGCAAATTATATCACAATAATTAAAACCATTAAAACAAAAATAGTTACAAATCGTATATTTGTTCCTCTTTGGCACTTTTCTTCAGCAATTCTTGAATGCTTTGGTGAGTCTTATCCTGATCTCACCCAGCATCCCATAAATCTTAATTAACTGTTCAATCCATCTACCAGCCACTTTTAATTTGGACAGAATAATGATTCTGTCTTCAACAATTATTCAAATGGCTAGTCTGTTTTAGCTGCTGTTCTATGTTAACTGTCAGCCTGATTTTCATTGATCAGTTTCTTCTAATCTTGACATGTTGTCCATGGAAGTTTCTAACATTTTATGCCACCTTTGAAGCTGCCATTCCTCCTCCAATGAGTAGCTGAACTAAGTCCTATTCTTATAACTTACCAACTGAACATAGCATAGACCGAGAAGAGAATGTGTTTGGCTTACTCTCTCTATTCTCAAAATCTCTTCAGAGTAAATATATATTTATCTGACTAGCCAAGTCATAATATGTCTGGGAATCAAAAACTAGTGTTCATACAGAAAAAACTAACCAGTGAGGCCTTTCTACACTTAAGTGGCATTTAACTTACAGCCTTCTCTAGTTCTTCTTTGGCAATGATTTGGAAGTATAATAGTCAGTTAAGCATACACCATTCTAGAGTTCGGTTAAAGTTAGAATTCACTGGCCTCCTCTAGTTATGTGGCTTTAAATATTGTGATCTTAGGAGACATACTTAATAAATACATTTTTCCCTATGTTATAGGTGTTACACATTTGCTGATATGCCATGGTATCAGAGGAACATAGCTGCTATTTTATTCTCAACACCACCCAGCTCTACCTATGAAGAAGTATGTGTCCCATTAGTATTTTCTATAGCTTTTTTGGGTGTATTATCCTTTAAAACTTTGGGGGGGGGGGATGGAGATTGAAAGGTCAGTTCTTTATAAGCTATAGTGTCAGGCAGTATATTTTTGAATAAAACTTAGATTCTGAAAAATAAATATACCATCTACTAAATGACTAACTACTTATTGTTATTATCGATAATATACCAGCTATTTCACAAAATACATAACATTACATTTGTAAATAAATATATCATTTGAATATAAACTATAAAGCATATAGCATTACCTTTTGTGTTTTTCCTTAGAAAGCAAGTTACATTGCAGCTATTGAAGTATTTTAATTTTTATTGGAATGATTTGGATTATTTTAATAGTATTCTTCTAATCTTAATGCTAATGTCTTCTAGGCATTACAGTACTTTCAAAAGGCTGAAAATGGTAAGTTATGTAAGAAAGTACATTGCATGACAACTTTGAAATCAAAATTAAAATGTGTTAGATATTATATGAAAGTATAAATTATTTATAGCAAAGTCTCCCAGCATTTCCGGCTTTGTGGGGGGAAGGGGACGGTTCACACAAGTGGTTGGCAAGCATGCGTGAACGCAGCTCCATTTCTGTGAGCGGCATGCATGCGCACTGCCATTCACACAAATGGAGCACCACGCTCACGCGAGGATGGCCTGGGTGCCTTCGCTCGCCATTTCCATGGCCCAGTTCAGACACAGCCCACTAGTGGGGCACAGCCCACAGGTTGGGTACCCCTGATTTATAGTATTACATGAAAGAAGGATATAGATAAATGAAAGTTCTTCAAATTCCCTTCAGCTCTATCTAATATATCTACTTTGGTATCAATGTAGAATGAAAAAAATAGCATCTCTAGTCATTAGATACCCAAATTATAAATTGGAAAATCCATAGTGTTTCAGTACTGAAACAGTACTGAATATGCAACTTTTTAATTACACTATTTAATACACTTTCAAAAAGGATGCTAAAGGAACTATCTTGAAAGCATGTTATGAGTTTGTTTGTTAGAACAAGCGTTTCTTCTTTGTTTATTAAAATGTTTCTATTGATTATGGGAAGATTAAAATTAACACCACTAATTTATACATTGTGTTTCTCAGAAGAGGAATGTGAAATGTTTTAGTCATAAATGAACTTGCCTCAGAATTTGAATTATAAAGATGTATATTGAAGTGATTTTTATATTGAGGAACAGAAACAAAGTAATTTCTATCTTAAATTTAATATAAATCATATATATATATGATTAGTTAGTGCAAAATGACTGCTGACATAAGCCTGATGATGGCAGATGGGATTCTGCCGAAACGTCGCTTCTACCCTTTTAGGGATATATCCACAACTACACGGGAAGAAACCCGAAATATTAACTATACATACACACACACACACACACACACACACACACACACACACACACACACACACATATATAAAATACAGAATGTCAGTCTAGTGATAATGAAATAAAAACATTACAGTGTAGATAGAACCAAATATCCTTTACCATTCCCATTCAGCAAAATGTATCACATTATCTCTTTTCTGTATATGTACTGAGATTATGCTTAACTTTTTAAAATATTAGAAGCAAATCAGCTTTACATTATAAATTAAAAACCAGAAGTTTTTTGTTTGTTTTCATTTTTGTGTAGTTGAACCAAATTTCTATAGTAAAAACTTGTTGTTCTTGGGAAAGACTTACATGAAATTAAATAATAAAAAGATGGCCCTTCTTTGGTTAACAAAAGCTAGAGATCGACTACCACATACAGAAGAAGATAAGCAGGTAAGTTACTTTCACAGCCAGATATGTATATAGATATAGAAAATACATTTCAAATATTCTTGTGCTAGAACACATACTGAACACACATCAGTGCTTTAATTAGCATTACACTGTAGCCTAAAGCTTTGTTTCCCGATCTTGGAAATATATTGTTCCACTTTCAGAACTAACCAGCCAACATGATCTTTGCTGAGAGTAATCATCTGTGAACTGGACAGCATCTAAATTTAATAAATTATTAATCTAAAGAAATCTTGGAAATGTATATTGAAATAAATCATAATTATGTTATGAAACGTTAGATGTTAACAGACTATCAAATGATTATAGAAATGTTAGATCTAGCGTAATATGAATATTGTTATAAAGCATTGTTAATGTTTTTCATCGAAACTAAGTTTAAAAATGGACAGTTGGAATAGAGGAATTTCCTGTAGATTTCTTTCTGTCCCTTTTTCAGGGGAAAAGGATTGAAAGGATTTCATAAATTTTGATAACGATACTCTGGTTGGGTTCCACTGTACTTCTTTGTGAGAATTTTACCTGGAGCTTGGCTTTTCAGTTTTAATTTATAGCAGCACTGAGGTAAATTGGTTTAAGTGATTATTATTGACTCAGATTTGTAACTAAGCAGAAACTTGAAACCAACTCTCTCAGTGGATGTTCAGAGCCCAATGTTTGTTTATTTAATATCTTTGTATACCCTTGCTGTTCACATTAAAAAAGAAATGTAGCACAAAATCCCATATAAAAATAAAAACAAGTTGTTGTGTTTTTTTTTTTTTAAAAAAAAGAGAGATGGTACTATTAAATCAAACTGGGGAAGGCTCAGCAAAAAGCCTGGCTTTTAAGATCTGGTGTAAAAGCAGTAAAGAGAGAGGCACTCTGATCTCCAGAGGGAGGCCGCTTCACACTGCATCAGTTTCTACCCGATCTAATCCTGGAAATAAATGTCTGCGTAGATTTTCTATTTTCTTAAAAAATATTCAAAGGCAAATTAGCAGACCAGTGCATTAACACAACTATTTTTTACATGATTTGCATACTGTGTCAAATGATAATTTTTTCACTTCTATTGTTCCAGGTACAAAAAGAAGCTTTGGAAATACTAAATTCCATATGACATGTTTACTCAAAATATATGAACTGATGAACTAAGCAACTAAACAGAAAACTAAACAGTTATATTGTGGTTTAAATTGGTATATGGAGAAAATAATAAATTCCAGATTTTACTGACATTTCCATCTACATCTATTAATCCATCTATATACATATATACAAACAATGTAGAGAGAGAAATCAGGAAACAGTTATGAAATTGACAAGTATTCAGAAATAATAGCTTTTAATTTTAATATCTACTTTTCTTGTTTAAACTGTTATTTCGGTCATCTTCTAGCATATGGAAACATGGTTTTAGATACTTCATTTGGATAAGTACAGTGTTTTTGTTTTGGAGAATTTAGCAGGATAGAATATGCTTGCTTTTATATGTCAAAGGATAATTTGTTAAGATATTGTTATAAGAGGTGTGGCACAGTGTATGCAGTCAGCAGTTCAATCCTGATGGGCTCAAGATTGACTCAGCCTTCCATCCTTTCAAGGTTGGTAAAATGAGGACCCAGATTGTTTGGGCCAATATGCTGGCTCTCTAAATCATCTAGAGAGGTCTGTAAAGGACTATGAAGCGTATCTAAGTATGAGTGCTGTTGCTAATGCAATTGTTTATCCTTAACATGTAAAGATATTTTTAAACAGTGTAGTGTTTATTTACATTTTGGCTTGCAACCAATATATGAATAATTTTTTGAGCTTTTTGGTTTCTTGCAAGGTGTAGTTAGAGATTCCTTGTTGCCTTTCACATCTTAATCATATAGTTCCATAGGGGTATAATCTGTTTGCTGCTTTTAAACAATACCCTTCATTTGCAACAAGGTCCTTTTAAAATAAAAAGTACTTATATATATAAAAAACAACAAAAAACCCCATAAACAAATATAAATGTGAAAAAGAAAAATTCAAAAACAATATAGCTCTTGACTAATAGTCTTGAAATGCAACATTAAACTATATAGATTGGTATCTCTTTTTGTTAGGTAAAGTCATAAGCAGAGAACAAATCAGCTCAAGGATTTAAAACTAGGATTACATATCCTTTTACTATAAAAGTAAGATCATGTTTATACTTCAATATGAATAATTCTAAATCATGCAAATAACTAATATCTACCTTGTTTCCCTCAAAATAAGACATTCCCTGATAATAAGCCCAATCGAGCTTTGAGCACATGGCAATAAGGCCAAGCGCTTATTTCAGGGTTCAAAAAAAATATAAAACAGGGTCTTATTTTGGGGGAAACATAGTACCTAAATAGTTACCTTTAATTTTTTTTCTATGAAAAACCCTTTGTAGATTTGAAATCGTCTAGTCCTGAGAGTAAGTCAAAAAATTTGCTTTTGCTGTTAATGTATCTGCATCAAATAGTGAAAAGTTTTTCTAAAAAATTGAATATATTTTTATAGAAGAGCTGACCCTATATGTTAAAAAGCTGAAGGTTTCAATCCCCTATCCCCAAAGCCTCTGTGCCTATATACATAGCTATGCTTTTTATATTGAGGTTTGATAGTTACCACCTAACTCCCATGGGCAATCTTCTCTTACACCCTTCTTAATGGTGTAATGTGTGATTAATACACACATTAATCCCAATGTGTGTATGAGAAAGGGAACTTTTAAGCATCTGTTGCTTTTCTGGCAAATTCTAAGGGAAAAAAAGGAGGACAGCATGGCCATATAGCGATTAGGAAAATAGCCTCTCTCTACCTTCTCCTTTGTGGGAAGGTAAATCAGCTAAGGCAAAGCAGCGTCATAATTTATATAGAAATTGCCTTTGTTGAAAGAATTGGAAAAATTTTCACAACAATTTTAGCAAATAGATTAAAAGGCTTCCTGAATGAATTTATACATATTGACCAAAATGGGTTTTTACCATCACGCCAATTACGAGATAATTTGAGAGTCATGCTAAACATACTGGAATATTACGAAGATCATCCCGGTAAACAGGTCGCACTAGTTTTTATAGACGCCCAGAAGGCATTTGACAGGGTCAACTGGGAGTTTATATTATTACAGCTAGAACATATGGGTTCTAGAACACAGATTTATAAATGCAATCAAAGCTCTTTACTCCAAACAAACGGCCAAATTATTGATAAATGGGGATTTGACAGAAGAATTTTCTATTAGCAAAGGCACAAGACAGGGCTGTCCCCTCTCCCCCTTACTATTCATTCTATCACTAGAAACTCTACTGCGAAAAATAAGGAATGAGGAAAGAATAAAAGGCCTTAGAATTGGACAACAGGTATATAAAACCCAGGCCTTTGCAGATGATATGGTTTTCATTCTAGAAGAACCTATAAAATCCTGCCCATACTTATTAGAGTTGATTGAGGAATTTGGGGCAGTAGCAGGATTATTGATTAATAAAAAGAAAACAAATTTATTAACGAATATCTCAGAGGACGATAAGAGGAGCTTACAGGAAGTGATTGGATTGAAAATAGTTAACAAAATTAAATACTTGGGAATTTGGTTATCTGGTAGATGCTCGAGCATACAAGAAGACAATTATAATAAACTATTAATCCAAACAAGGAAAGATTTAGATAAATGGGGTAAAATACAACTTTCACCTCTGGGACGAGTAACAACAGTTAAATCTTACATTTTACTGAAATTTAATTTCTTATTTCAAACTGCACCAGCGAACCTATCCAAAAAATTCTTTATGGAATTAAACCAAACAATAACTAAATTTATTTGGCAGGGGGAAAAGCCATGAATTAAAAAAAAGATGATGCAGGAGATAAAAGAAAGAGGAGGCCTGGGATTACCATGTTGGGAGAACTACTACTCAGCAGCTCTGTTAGTGTGGGTAAAAGAATGGATTACCTTGGGTAACAATCGTCTTCTTAAAATAGAAGGTTATGACCTACAACAGGGCTGGCATATGGCACTCTGGCGAGTTAGTATCCCACAAAACAAATGGTTCACCAGACATTACATAAGAAATATTCTAATTCGAAACTGGGAAAAGGTCAGCAAAAAATATTATATTAAAACACCGTGCTGGATATTACCTGTGGAAGCACTGACATACCCCAAGCTTTATAATCCGACAAAGAAATTAATATACAAGGATTTACTGACTGCACAGGGAAAATTAAAATCTAAACAGGAATTGAATTCTTTAGGATTACAAGTGGATTGGTGGACCTACTTACAGATTCAATCCAAATTTAAGAAAGATAGAGATGGGAAAGGCATACACGTGGACCTACAAGAATTAGATAAAATCTTGAGGGGCCAAGAAAAAGGCATGATTTCGAAAAGTTATAAACTGTTAATGAGATTAGAAATAGGTGATGAGATAATCAAAGATATAACGATCGCCTGGGGAAAAAACTTTGGTTACCCAATCCACTTAGATAAATGGCAAGGGATTTGGTGGGAGAATATGAAGTCAGTAGTTTCCACGGCATCCAAAGAGAACATTTATAAGATGATATATAGGTGGCACCTTCCCCCTGATAGATTGGCTAAAATGTTCACTGGACAATCTGCTGAATGTTGGAAGTGCGAGCTGGAACGAGGCACCTACTACCATCAATGGTGAACATGCCCGGAAGCAGCCAAGTTTTGGGGAAAAATAAAAAAATGGCTTAATGAGATTTTAAATCAAAAGATTGATTGGGCACCAGAGACATGCTTGCTCGGCTCCAAACCGGATAATATTTAAAAAGACTCATGGTATTTGGCCCTACACATTATCACAGCGGCGAGATTGACATACGCGCAACTTTGGAAAAACAAAAATATACCATCAGAGGAAGCAATTATAAAAAAGATTTTGGACTGTGCGGAAGCAGATAAATTGACTAAAAAATTAAAAGATAGAGATCAAACAAAAACATGTTTATCCTGGGAAAAACTATATACTTGGCTAGCGAAGAGAAAATCATAACCCAATCGAAAAGAGGAAAGGTATTTATTGAGAAACCTATACTATACAAATAAAGTGAGGTCGGATAGACCTAATTGATATATAAAGAGAGATAAGTTGTTCTGCCTCCCTCGGAATGTAATGTAGATATATCGTACCGAATATTTAGTTGTTAAGATATTACTTGCAGATATGTTTGTTATTTGTTATATTGTCTTGTATGTTATTTATATGGTGTGTTTTCTGTTTTTTAATGAAAAATGTAAATAAAGATTATTTTAAAAAAAAGAAAAAAAAGAAAAATGCTTTTTACTTTTAAGCACCTACTTGTAAACTCTGCTAAAGAAATAAAAATATAGAACTCTTCAAATCACTAACAGCATTTTAGAAGACATTCCAGTAGAAAAATATATGCAAAAAAGGCTCAGCAGTTCTTATTTAGAAGCAACTTTTTATCATAAGCAAAAGAAATTAAACACTGATTAACTTTTCCCTATTCTAGAAAATACTTTGGTACAGTATTACCTGTATGCTGATTTATTAGCTGAGAAATCCTTCCTGCAAATTCTAAATTTAAGCTTGGAGGAGCATCTGATTTCTCTGTTTCCTCTTCCCCTCCCCATTTTAGCACACAGGTTCTTGTCTGTCTCTCTCCTACCAGAGAAATGGGTGCAGTTATGGAAAGAAGGAATGCTTTTCCACATAGAGAATGAAGGGTCAGAAAATTATGTGTTCTTTTGAATTGCTATAGATTGCTGTAGGGGGGGGAGGGGTTTGGTATCGTTTGTATATTCGTTTTTTATTTTTGTAAGCTGCCCAGAGTCACTGAGAATGAGTGGATAGCCATTTAGTTTTTAAAAGATAAATTAAATTTTTAGTCAAATTTCAAAGACATCCAATGCATATTTGGAAGATACCGGTACATAGTTTGTTATTCATAAGAAGTCTTATTTTTTAGACTATTGCAAAGGGTTTCATGAATGCAATACAGCAGCAAAACCATTGAAATATTTGCTCATTAAAACCAGCAAGGTGCACTTTGGTTATCCCATTTAATTTTAGTAACATCTTTCTCAGGCATCAGTTACTTTTTTTTCTTCTTATAAAACTGCTTGGGGAAGCCAAGGCATCTTTTTGAGCCTTTTTGTATTAGAGAGATGGAGATAGAGATTGAGAGATGTACAAAAACCAGATCCAATACATAGGAATCTGCATTTATTCTCAATTTT